AATTATCAATATTTGTCTAATTTTGAGAATAACGTTTGTGATTGTTAGATTGATTGAATATTTTTGTACCGATATTTGAATTAGTCTGATAATCTAAAGTCAATTCAGGTAGGATATTCGTAATTGTATTCGCACTTGAATAGGTGACAACCGGATTGAATAGTTTATTCCTGGGGGTTAGACAATCAAATCTAATTGCTCCTCTTAGGTAGTAATTGTTTTGAATTGGGTTTTTCTAGATTAGAATGCGATTAGACAATATTTCTTATGGGCGCACCTAGGTTTATTTGCTTAATTAGGGGTAGTTAATGGTCGTACCTTAATTACCTACACTGTAAGGAAAAATTGGTTGTCAGTTGTCAGAGCTTGTTAATAACTATAACCAATTTATTGATATTTTGATAAGAATTAATTTTATTGAATTAATGATAAAACACAAGTGCCATAACATCCCCTTAATAGCTAGTTCTCCCTTAATTTAATTGTTTTCTTGTTTTATTTTCATTATATAATAAAAAAAATTTCCCCCAAATTATTTACCACATTAGAACACAAATGAATAAATCACACAATCCCCGTGGAGACGATCCCTTCCCTTGTATGACATTAAATTGTGATCATGGAATATGTGAATTATTTGATTGACCGCGCGACAGGTCAATATTTTTGTCATTTTCTCTTGATTTGTAATATGTATTGATATAATAATTAATATTCAAAGATAACATATAAAAAACTAATGGTACTCTTCTTATGGGAGGTAGATAATATAATGTTTGGTTTATAGATGAGAAGTGAAGGAATCGAAGGAGAAGAAAAATTAATACAATTTGTTAACGAAAAAATAATACTACTTGCCATTTATTTTTTTATTTATTGTCTTTAACATTAAATTTTTTATATATTTGTATAATTTATTTGACAAATTAAATATTATTTATTTGTATTATAATAGATTAATAAAGATATTTTTATCTTTTTCTTATTTGTAATAAATATTAATATAATAAGTAATATTTAAATATCTACTCGGAAAAAAAAAAAAAAAACCGATGGTACTTTCTTTGGGAAGAAGATATTACCAAAATAAATCTATTACCAAAATATTTTTTATTAAAAGTTTTCATCAAATTAAATCCCTGCAAAAATTTACCCTAAAATTTTCTGCTAAAAGTTCACCAAAATCACTCAATTCAATCAACACAAATAAAAAAATAAATTAAATAAAAAATTTGTACACTATAACAGAATTACCTACACTACAACACAAATCAGCAACTAAAAGAATTTTCCGACAAATTCTACCCCAAATGGACCATCCAAAAGAATTTTCCTACAAATTTTGTCCCAAAATCGAGTTCTGTAAAAATAAATAAATAAATCTCTAAAAATCTACCAAATAGTTTCTCTCTAACATTTTTTTTTTAGCAAAATTACTATGCAATCAAAATAATTAACAAGAATTTTTCCTTCGACTTTGAAAATTAAGAGCACTTGATGACTATAAATATGAGTCACTATTACGTTAACTACACTGTGTGTTTGTTTGGGGGTTTGGATTTTGAGTTTGGATTTGAATAATAAAAATTTTGAATTTGAATAGTTGTATGATGTGATATAAATAGGTGTTGACGAATGTAAAATTGATTTTTAGTATAATATAAAAATTAAAAAATAGGTGTTTGATTTAATATTTTTTAGGGGAAAAAAATAGAATGAATAGTATATTTGGGGGAGAATCCCCCAAACAAACACACTAATTTATATAACACCAATGCACAAAACACCATTTATTTTATTTATTGCGTGAAACACCCTTGTCTTAATGTAAAGTTTGCACGAAATACCCTCCTTGTCCAAAACTAATATTTGGTTTTAAATAAAGATCTAACTTACGCAAATTTTATACAAATACAAAACACAAAATATCTTAAATAATTCTATTGAATAAAATAAATAAATAATTGATTCATCCTTCATTTTATAGTTTTCGGAGAGAAATTTTTATGTGATTTTGATAAAAACTACAAAAATAAATGACTGATCAATTATTTATTTATTTTATTCAAAAAAATTATTTAAATATTTTATGTTTTTTATTTGTATAAAACTTACGTAATTTAGGTCTTTATTTAGAACCAAGCATCAATTTTAGATAAGAAGAGTGTTTCGTGCAAATTTTACATTAACACGAGAGGATTTCGCGCAATAAATAAATAAAATATAAGATGTTTTGTGCATTTTTAGTAAAATACAATGGGTTGTTATATAACTTACCCTTATTTATAATACCATAAAATATTTTAAATTTTAAAATAGTTATTATTTATTATCATTTCGGCACAAATAGTGATGTTGCTCACTTCTACTTTTAAGAAATCAAGAAATTATTTATCTAGAATATAGTTCGTAAAAAATTGCTCTTAGGAAAATAAAAATACAAAGATCAACCTAATAACTTTCTATTTCTATTCATTTCATTTTGATTTTATTATTTGTGTCCTTGAATAAATAGTAATAAGATTATTATGAATCATTTTATGTAAAGATAATAAAAATTAGAAATTTGAAAATAAATTAAAATAAATTGAGTAAATTATATATATATATATATATATAACGTAACCGAAAATTGTAAAAGATCTGATAAATATAAACAAAAAAAAATGTTATATATCAAAAGAAATATATTAAAAAATATATATTATATTGTATATCTATATGTATATGGTATTCAATATGATATATGTTTGATATGGATAATGAAATTGCAAAGAATAAGAGTAGAGTTTATAATTATTTTTTGTTTGTTTGATAAAAATGAAAAATTCGTATGAGAAATGTAAAAGATAAAGTGATCTGGATAAATCGATCAAAAGAAAATAATGAATCCGGTAAAAAAAATATTTTAGTGATTGAAAATCCACATGTTTGAATAATAAACTAGATGCGATGTAAGATTGGATTAGCATAATTTTAAAAGAATTGTAAAAAATTATACTCCCTCATTCCGGCTTGAAGGGTCTCATTTACTTTTTACGTGTTGATCTTTTAATATTAATCATTATATCAAAACGTAGTACAAATTAAGAAAAATTGCAAAAATACCTTCGTTAGTGTCTTGTAATACTAATAGAAGGACATTTGTACAAAAAATTATACAAATATAATGATATTTTTAATGTTAAGTACAATAACGCAAAATGTTTATATGATCCAGGCAGACATGGTGAGTATTTTAATATAAATTAGATATGATATTTTGTAAAATTGAAATAGTGTAATTTCTATAAAAAATAATAATAATAAATTCATATTAAATAGTACCAAAAACATAAATAAAAATAAAAATAAATTAATAAACACTACGCATCATTTTTTTAGTATTTTTTTATCTAAATAAATAAAAACACATAAATATAAATTATTTATTTTTTAAGTTCACTTATATCATTCAAACAAAAAAGATAAATGAAAGATATTTCTATATACCAACCACACTGGTACAAAAAAATTATAACAAAGAATGAAATTGTAGAGAAATAATACAAAATAAAGATTAATCCATTTGTTTGGTAAAATAAAAAATCTAATGAAGAAATATAAAAAAACATAACGTATAAAGAAAATATGTTATATTGCTTGTTGAAAAAAATAAATCAATGACTAAAAAATGATAAATTGAATAATAGAAATATTATTGTATTTTTTAGTTTGATAATTTATTTTAATAATAATTTAGAGATGATATTTTATGAGATTCAAATAATACAAAAAATTAAATTATAGTAATAAAAATAAAAAACATGTAAAAAAACATAAATTAAATCGAAAAAATTAAAATATAAAAAAAAAAAGAAAATAAAATAAACACTCATTGTACTCTCAATTTCACTTATCTTTATTTTTCTGCACATAGAATATAAATAAAAATAAAAAATAAAAAATTATTTATTTCTCAATTTTAAATTCTCTGAATGAGAATATTTTTATTTTTATGTATCAAACACCTTCTTACAATTTTATTTTATGTATATACTCCCTCCGTCTCATATTTATATATCTATTTGTTTTTTGCACGGAATTTTAGAAATATTAGTATTATATTGGAATAAAGTAGAAATAAAGGTAAAAAGACTAAATTAACCCTATTATTAGTATTGTATGATATAAATGTAATGATATTTGTGTAATATATTGTAAATTAGAAGGGTATTTTGTAATATTAAGTAGATAGTACAATTAATAAAAAAGAAAATGGATACAATGGGATGGATCAAATGAAAAAATGGATAAATTGTTAAGGGACGGAGGGAAGTATAATTTTTGGATGGTTAATGATAATAAAATAAACTATACAATCAATATATATTAATAATTATATCTCCTTTGAATAACTAATTATATTATTGAAAAAATATACTATAAACTACTCTCTCGGTCCCATTTCTCATGTTCATTTTTCTGTTTTCGTCCGTCCTATTTATTTTGTCATTTTCTCTTTTTGAATAAGAATTATACACTTTAATTTTATTTTAAAATTTTAATTTATATATATATATTAAATTTAATTATACTAATGAGTTATCTTAATCTTAATTTATAATTATTTTTATTATACGATAATTATTTTCACTGATATATTTTTAATTATTTACTAATTATATCTCTAGTAAATTCCTGTGTTTATATTAAAGTGGACAAAATACCCGGGACGGAGGAAGTATATATTAACAATTATGTCTCCTTTTAATAACTAATTATATTATTGAGAAAATATATAAAAATAATTATCCAACCATCTATGATATTATAAAATAAATTTTAGTTATGAATATTTCTCTGCCCATAGCCCAGCCACATATATATATATATATATATATATATATTTACGGTATACCACAAGAAGGTCTTGAGCCATGGCGGAATTCTCTCTCTCTCTCTCTATCAAAGGGCAGCCACAAAAACCCCAAAATTTGTTAAAGACCACTAAAAAAGGATCTTACAAATGAGTATAAATTGAAGAGAAATTGTCCGATGAAAGCACAGCAGCATTGGTTAGATCTTCAGCAAATAAAACTAAACTCTCCGATCCAGCACCGTCGCAAAACTGCCCCTCGCTCTTCTCTTGTCACAAACCCGACCGACGACGACGACGATAGCGATGGCTGCCTCAACGACGACCACTCTCGCCATGGCGGCCATTGTGTTCCTAGCCGTTGCCGCTTCCGCCGGCGCCGCCCGCGTCGGCAACAACGACAAGGGAAAGCCCCACCCCCACCACGTTGAAAAGGATGGCGGACCGGTGATCCTCTGATCTTTAAATTTATTTTTATTTTTTTTAATTGAATTAAAAAATTATTATTAAATCGATTCGAAATTTCAAAATAGTATATAAGATTTTTGAAAATTGAATAATATCAAAAATTTTTAAAATATTACTATATAAATAGAGGTATAATTATTTCAATAGAGGTCCAAGTTGAGTTGTAGATGAATAGTGTTAAAAGTTTTATTGTAAATAAAGTTATTTTTTATTTTTGGGTGGATGGGTGGTGACTAATTTGAGCATATACAGATTCTCGGGTTGCCGCAGCCGATAATACCACCGGGTGCGATGACATGGTGCGTGCCGAGGTCGACGGCGAGCGAGGCGGCGCTCCAAATGTGCATCGACTTTGCGTGCAGTCAGGGCGCGGACTGCCGGGCAATCCAGCCGGGCGGCCCTTGCTTCGCCGGAAACATGACCCACCAGGCGTCCTTTGTCATGACCTCTTATTACAGCAAATACAGACCCGACAAGAACGGCTGCGACTTTAACGGCGTCGGTCACATCACAACAGTCAACCCAAGTCTGTTATCTCTCTCTCTCTCACTCTTGACGTCATCATTTTGTCATTGTTTCGTCATCATTGTACTGATTTTTGTTTGTGAATTAACGTTGCAGGTTTTGAAACTTGCGTATTCCCGTGAGCTGACAGGGCAGAGAAAGAGAAATTTTGAAGAGACTCGAAATTAATAGAAATTTTTTATGGGTGGCCGTACAGACGACATCCTTTTTTTGGAACGTGTTCAGTGTTTCGGAGAGTATTTTTAGGGTAGCATATGATGATGAAGATTTTTAAATAACAAAATAATATATATATATATATATATACATATATTTATTTTATTTTATTTTTATTTTTGAAATTAAATAATGAGAATATTGTTGCTTTTTCATATTTTGATTTGTGAAAACTCTCTATTCAGCTATTGCAAATAAACATCTTTTATTATTATTATTATTATTAATTGTGTAGTGCTTTATATAATTGTGCTGATGGTTAGCATGCTGATGTATTGATTAAATGAAGACCAAACTAATAAAATTATGACAAATCTTAAATTCAAATGATAAACTTAAAACATAAGATAAAATAATAATAATAATAATAATAATAAAACACTAGAAGCTTCTGAAAATAAATTTACTCTAAATAACAAATTAAACAATATGGATGATATGCTGAAACTATTAATTCAGCAAAACTATTTAATTTTAGTCATAACTTGTTAAGTTTGTAATTATTAATATAAAATTGATATATTTCAGCATGTTAACTTGTAATACAAGTCAACTATATGATCTAAACCTAAGGCTATTTTCTATTTATCCAATTTTAACTCTAAATATGTAGTTGCTATAGTAATTTTACTCCAATCATAATTCATTTTTCACTATTATTCTTCAAATATTCAATTTTTCCTATTATTTTAAACAACTTTTTATTTTTATAATTTAAAATAATTTTTTTAAAAATTTAGAAAAATTAAAAATAAAATTTAAAATTAAAATAAAAAATTTAAAAATTTAAAAAATTATATAGAGCAACGCTATTGCAAAATCAAAATTGGCGTTGCATTGTAGCAACGCCAAAATGAACGAAGATGAACGAAAGATTTTTTATTCCATTTTTTTCCCCTAAAATAAAATAGTTCATATCGAAAGATGAACGAAGATTGTTTGTGTGACAATTTTAAATTCATACTTTTGTTACTATCTTTTATTGCAAATTAGTATCATATTTATATTAAAAATTGTATATAAAATATATAAAAAATTTGCAATGTATTTAATCATATAGATAGATGATATATTACCTAAAATTTACTTCACCGGTATTGTTACAATGCAAAGTTAGAATCTTTGTAAAAGATTTGAATATTTTATGAATTAGCACCAAATTCTATACAGATCAAATAAAAAAAATCATAAAAATCTAATCTATAAAAGTAATCAAATTATTTTTTAAATTTGAAATAAAAAAATTATCGAATTTGATAATTGACGATATCTTTAATGAAAAATATAACAACTGATTATCCAGTGAACATCTTTTGACATCCAAATTAACTATTCTTAAAAAAATATCAAACATTGTGAATACAATATTATTAAATAGTATAAATAGATTGAATAAATCGAAACGAAAAAAATAGACTGAAAGATAAATTATAGTAGCAATCAATTGTTTGATCAACATTTTTCAACATCACATCGGCGGAAGTCTCTTCAAGTAATAGCACATTCCACCTTCAAACATCATGCTCCGACATTTAAAAAATGTAAGAAAACCTATATGGCAAAAGAATAGCAAAAAAAACATAATTTAGCAAATAGAAAACAAAAAATATAAACAATAAGAATGATCAAAATTCTTGAAAAAATATGTAAAAGAAATGAGAAGATAATTTTAAAACAAATAAAAAATAAATGAGAGACAAACTATATAAATTATAAAAACTGTATATACCCCTAATATATAATCTGTACTCCTGTAACGTATAAAAGCAACGAAAAAAGAAACTATAAATCAAATTAAAAAATTCAAAAAATTTGACAGTGCAAGGAATTAAACATTGATATCAAAGATATATTATTATTATTATTATTATTATTATTATTATTATGTATTTGTTGGAAAAAAGCCTCAATTGGTGGAGATCATCTTTTGCCACTATTGTGTTTGTTGATGTCACATTTTTCTTTACTTTTATGATTATTTTATGAATTTTTATGGGCAACTTCCACTGAACTTTCTATATCTATTTTCAAATTTTTATTTACTCCCTATCAGGGTCGTCTCGAACTTTTTTGGAGCTCTAAGCAAAAATAAATTAGAAATCCTATAAACACATGATTAAAATATATTTTTAAAATAATATCACTGATTTAAAAAGAAGAAAAGAAGATGAAAGACAAACAGTTCGGAGGTTCGAAAAGCGAGAATGACTGAGTGAGGGGGAAAAGAGAGAAGAGAGAAGGTGAGACGAGTTTGGTCTGAGTGGGTGTGTGCAGTGCGACAGGGGTGTGAAGTAGAGAATTGTAGACGACGATTGAATTTGAAAAAAATATTATGAGATCAGTTAGAAAGAAGAGAAAAAAATATATATAATTATAATTTTAAAATTTAATTTTAAAATTTATTTGGATAATTATAAAAAATATATATATATAAACTACAAACTTAAAATTTAATAATAATAATAGGTAATATTTTAAAATTTGGGCTCTCTATTAATTAGGGTATGCATTAATTTGTTCTTTATTACTCTTTCATTTCTATAAATTTATTCTTTTTCTTTCTCTGTCTATTTATAAATCCTATAATGCCCTTATTTAATTTTCTTATATCTGATGTATTTTTCATTATGTTTTCGTATATAAATTTTGAAAAATATTTGCAATCCTTAATAAACAATACTTATTTATAATATTGTATCAATCTCAGTAAAATAAAGTATAAATATACAGTGAACAAATATTTCAAATATTTTATATGATTGTTGATTGCAATATATGTAATACAAAAAAGTATCTAAAATAAAAAATAAAAGTATAAATGTTCATTTAAAAAAAATATATTTTTTTCATGTGAAAAGTATATACGAAAGTTGAAAGTTGACTTATGAAAGTATTTTTTTTATACAATTTATGAAATTGAATTTATTATTTAGGGTTTATATGTCATAGTAGATTCAAAAATTCATATGGATATCTGTGCATTTAAATAACGTTTACAAATTAATTAGTATGTGATACTTAATTTTGTAAATATTATTAAGCAACAAGTGAATTGATTCTACATAGAAACATTGATAAAATGAGAATAAATAATGTATATATTTAAATACTCACAATTATTAAAAAAATATATAAAATATCAATTCCGATCGAATTAATATAAGTAAAATAATAAATATGTATGTCAAATACTCAAGTATTGATTACTCTATATAAAAGTACATAACGTAAAACTTAATTGTATAATCATTTATTTGAAAAAATATTGCATTTTTATTTCTCGTGTAGATACACAAGAAAAATAATATAAGAAATTAATATTGTAAACACTGATATATTTAAAGAATAATTATATACTAATATATGATACACAATATTGATAATATTAATAAGCCAATTTATTTAATATACAAATATTCGTACCATGACAAGTAGTTAAAAATATTTATTCGTAATCCTTAAACAATAATGCAATATATTTATAATGAATAGTTTCTTAATGAATAAAATGCTAGTAAACACTAGCGGAAAAGTATTGAATTGTCTCAAAAAATTGTCTCGGAATCTAAATAGTTACGAGACAATTAATTAAATAATCTCAAAAATTGTCTCGAAAGTTTTTCCAGTTTAATCGTGACAATTTGGAAAATCATGGAATGACGAGACAAATAGTCTCATGAGATTATTCTAGAGAATGTCGTGACAATATATTGTCTCAAAAATACTTGCGAACTCCATTACTATATTTTGCCTCAAACGGCGGTGATAATTTCTAAAATTATATTTTATCTCAAATATTTGTGACTATATTTTGTCTTGAATGTTCGTGGAAATTTTCGAGACTATATTTTGTTTCGAATATCCTTTTTGATATTATATTTTATCTTGAATGTTCGTGATAATTTTTTAGAGTATATTTTATCTCGAGTGACCTTGAAAATTTTTTAGACTATATTTTGTCTTAAATGTTTGTGATAATTTTCGAGACTATATGTTGTAGCAAACAATTATACCAATATATGAATCAATATACTATATTATATCTCAAAATAATTATAGCAATATCTGATATTATACTTGCACAATTTTTTGCCAAAATAAGTTAATTATTTTGGTTAGTTTATTCATCGTGATATTTCCACCAAAATTAGTGCATATCAATATTATAAATATTGTCTCAAATTATCATACTGTGCTTCACATAAGCAAACCGTAATCAAATTACAATCTTCATGGCAATAAGTACAAAACGTAAAATAATATAACAAATAAAATTAAAAAGCATTACTCCTCATCCCCATCTGATTCAGGGCATTTTGTTGTCTCATCGCCATCATCTTCTTCATCTTAATTATTATAATTGACTTTTTACTTCAAAAACAAGAACCGTAAAACACCACTTTAGCGGTTTTTCTATGCTCTGACCTTTTACAATTAAATTTTCTATATGCATCAACAAGATTATTTGAAGATGTTTGGACATAACTATTTTGGGTACCTTCAATGGATCATTTCTATTGGCATCACTTGAAGCATCACTTGAATTATTGTTTGGAAACAAAGGCGAACAATTATTCATGTTGAACAAACAATAAAGAGACTAATCACCTAAAAAAAAAATTAAATAATTATTTAATGGAACAAAAAAGATAATCAAACGTAATAAGTTAAATAAGACACAATAAATATTTGTAAAACAATTTCTTAACCAACATACATACACACATCAATCAAGAAAATAATACTCCCTCCGTCCCGGTCAAGATGATCCATTTGCTTAAGGATATGGTATTTTCGGTAGTGTAGATTAGTAAGTTATTAATAATAAGTTATTATATTATTTTATTATTTTTATATAAGTAGTGTTGTTGGTATTTTAAATATTTTTAGCATTATATATCAATAAAATATATATACAATATGGATATCATTTTGTAGAGAATAAAATTTTATATAATACAAATAAATAAAAAAATTTATTTATTTATTTATAATTAACCTAAAACTAATTTTATTAAAAATAAGAAGTTTTAAATATAGATACAAATATTTATTTATTGAGGAGACATAT